TGGCTGGGCCTTCAGCAGTGGCAGCTGCCAGGTCAGCCTTGGTGAGTGGCGACTCAATTGCTGTGCCCATGCAGTGTCCATCGCAGCCACCACGGCCACTTTGTGCAGGGACTCCATGAGCAAGCCTTGTGCGCTTCTTTTGCTTTACAGGAAACTTGACGCAGGCTGGTGTCCAGTGAAGAAATGCCAGGTGCATGGAAAGGAGAGGAGGACCTCAGGGCTGTGAGTGAGCTGCAAAAGGAAGCACATGGACCACCAGGTGGCGCTGCTGCGCTGCTCCAGCTACCAGGAGGTGAATGTTAGGACGAGCTTTGAGGTGGAGAGAGAGATGTCATTTCTCATCCTCCAGGTTCAAAGTAAAAACCTTCAGGCCAATCTCGGCCGAGCGTTCTGGTGTAGCGAGCGGGCTCGGAGGTGCTCACCGCTGCTGTCATGGTTATTTGCTAAACTGCATCTCGCTGTGTCCCAGAACACGGGCATTAGCAAGAACGGGCACCTGCCCTGGCCACAGCTCAGGAATGAATTTAGGTATTTCCAGAGAATGACACAAACTCTTCCACTAGAAAGTAAACAGAATCTGGTGTTATGTATAGGAAGATCCGGTTCTCCATTCCTGAGAAGAATCGACCTTTAAAGGATAGAATTAATTTAGTTCTCAGCAGAGAACTCAAGGGACCTCCACAAGGAGCTCATTCTCTTGCCAGAAGTCTGGATGATATCTTAAAACTTACTGAACAACCAGAATCAGCAAATAAAGTAGAGATGATTTGGATAGTCGGTGGCAGTTTTGTTTATAAGGAAGCCATGAATCACCCAAACCATCTTAAACTATTTGTGACAAGGATCACGCGGGACTTTGAAAATGACACTTTTTTTTCGAGAAATTGATTTGGAGAAATATAAACTTCTGCCAGAATACCCAGGTGTTCCCTCTGATGTCCAGGAGGAGAAAGACATTAAGCTCAAATTTGAAGTATATGAGAAGAATGATTAACATGAAGGTATTTTCTAATTTATTTTAAGTTATTCCCCTCCCTCAGGAAAAAAAAGTATGTATTTTTACATGAGAAGAAAAAGACTTGTTGCCTTTAGATCTATGAACAATTATTTCTAAGCAACGTGTTTTTATCCCACACTAATCTTGAATATATCAGATACCATTTATGAAACATTCTTGCTATAACTAAGTGCCTCTCCAAGACCCCAACTGAGTCCCCGCACCTGCTACAGTGAGCTGCCATTCCACACCCATCGCACATGGCACTCTGGCCAGTCCTTGATGACATTGTCGGGCTTTTCAAATGTCGGTAGTATTTATTAAAGATGAAGATGCACATACCCTCCAACTGAGTAGTTTCACTAGTAGGAAATACTGAAAGCTTCCTACATGTATATCTAGAGGTTTGTAGACATATGTTGCAGCCTTGTTTGTAACAACGAAAAATTGAAAACAACCTGGAAGTCCAGTGATGGGAAAATGAATATATTTCTGTTTAGATTGGGGAAGCCAAAGCAGATTCCAAGATTGAAATTTCAGTGAAGACAGTTTATTTGCTAGGTCTTACCAGAAAGCATCAATTGAGGTATGGAGAAATGGAACTGAGAAGGTAAGAAAACCAGTTTAAAGTCAGTGAACAGGTTCTCATTGGTAACAAGCTCTATACTGCTGAGATACAAGGAAACGGAGGGGAGAAAGCTGGAATATTGATCCTCCACTCCTTGGTTGTCAGCCCCCTGTCCTGTGTATGGGTGGAAAGTACTCCAGCTGCTCTATAGCAAGTCCCCGGTGTTTGCAGTAAGAAGCTGCTGGCATGCATGGGAACCGTGAATGGCAAACACTTAAGGCAATTCCATGTTTAAGTATATAACCTCTTCATATCTTTTTTTTTTTTTTTGACAGAGTTTCACTCTTGTTACCCAGATGGAGTGCAATGGCGCGACCTCAGCTCCCTGCAACCTCCGACTTTCCAGGTTCAAGTGATTCTCCTGCCTCAGGCTCCCAAGTAGCTGGGACTAGAGGCACGTGCCATGACACCCAGCTAATTTTGCGTTTTGGTGGAGACAAGGTTTCACCATGTTAGTCAGGTTGGTCTCGAACTCCTGACCTCAAGTGATATGCCTGCCTCGGCCTCCCAAAATGCTGGGATTATAGGCGTGAGCCACCGCACCTGGCAGATCTTTATTCTTTTTATGTAGTAAAAAGTATAAAGCCACACATGGTTTATTTGAAATATTTTATGATAAAAAAATATAAGGAGTAGGAAAACCAATTCTAGGTTAAAGTGAGGGATCGTGGTAGTTTGAATCAGGAGGTTGCATGTAGTAAGACACTGTGATTTAAGATATATATTAAGATTGGAAGTAGCAGGATATTCTGATGGAGTTTGACTTTGGTTTGGGGCCCACTGAGTTTGAGATGCCTTTGAGAAATGAAGGAAGAAGAGAGAGAATACAAGAAAAACTGGCCGGGCACAGTGGCTCATGCCTGTAACACATTGGCTCAGCATTTTGGGAGGCAGAGACAGGTAGATCCCTTGAGACCAGCTTGGGCAACATGGTGAAGCCCCATCTCTACAAAAAATACAAAAATTGGCTGGGCACTGTGGCGCCCACCTGTAGTCCCATCTGCTCAGGGGCTGAGGTGGATGAACTGAGCCCACGCGGTCACGGCTGCAGGGAGTTGTGGTTGTGCCACTGCACTCCAGCCTGGGTGACAGAAGAGACCCTGTCTCAAAAAGAAAGCTGAAAACAATGGAAGCATGCCTTCAGAATTCTAGAAAGAAAGTAATTTTCAACGGATAAATCTATATTCAGCCAAATAATCAAGGGTGAAGGTAAAATAATACATTTTTAGGCAAGCAAAGACTCAGGGGTTACCTTCATGTGCCCTTTCTTGGGAAACTATTGGAGAAAATACTCCAGCAAAATGAAGGAGGAGACAAACCAGAGAATGACCTGGATCCAGCAAATAGGATCCAACACAGGAAATATTGCAGCTACGGAGCTGGCTTTAAAAAAAAAAAAAAAACACAGTAAAAATATTAATAGGTTAGCTGGGTGGAATGGCTCATGCCTGCAGTCCCAGCTACTCAGGAGGCTAAAAGCAAGAGGTTGGCTTGAGTCCAAGAGTTCCAGACCAGCCTGGCCACCATACTGAGGTCCCTTCTCTTAAAAATAATAACAGGTTATTGCCAGATTTTGGGCATTTGGAAAGAAGTTCATTAAAGATAAAGCAAAAGTGAAAAAAACAAGGGGGAAGGGTGTTGGGCAATCATTAATTCTAGGGCAGAAGGAAGTACCGGAGAGGAATTAAGAGCACAATACTCTGTTCTTCTCAACAATGAGCAATATGTACTTAGTCATAATAATGTGGTGACTGCTTAGCCCCTAACTCTGGTAACTACTTTGGGACAATATGGGAGGAAAAGTGAAGATAGTGATGGTGTAAGAGCTAAATCCTCATCTGTCATTCAAGAAATCACTATAAAATGTATAAAACAATCAAGAAATGACTAAGTAGTTATGTGAGGAGAAAAACAGAAGACATTGCTAAAAGAGTTGAAAGTCATTGCTCTGGAGGATTAGGAGGGACGGGGCAGGGGACTGTTAGGATGCATTATTGACTGAAGAGGCTTTTTAAAATTACATGTATTAACATATGCACCCACTTGAAAAACTGAAAAAATAATAATTTGGAAAAACCCATGAAGGCAACTACCAGAAGGAAAAACTGAGAGAATGAAAAGTGCTTGTCTCTGGAAAGAACAAATGGCAGGACTGTTGCTTTCATGGGTTTTTTTTAAGACTTTTAGAGCCATTTGATTTTACCTAGACATTTTCATCTATTTCTTTAATAAAACAACTCTATCGTAATAAAAAGTTACATTCATTCACAGAAAACAAACAAACAAACAAAAACCCTTCCTGCCCAGCCCATCTCATTCTCCCTGAATCCTCAGCGCTAATGAGGACTGTCTCCTTCTCACCTCCCTGGACTGGACTTTTTACTACTGGAAAGTGGATGTGATTTCTAGTTTCTGCATGTCCTGGTTTATTGTGCTGCCAGTAAAATAAAATCAAAAGACATGTTGAATAAATAATAAA